TCTATTATATTATATTATATATTATATTCTATTATATTATATATTATATTCTATTATATTATATTATATATTATATTCTATTATATTATATTATATATTATATTCTATTATATTATATTATATATTCTATTATATTATATTATATATTATATTCTATTATATTATATTATATATTATATTCTATTATATTATATATTATATTCTATTATATTATATTATATATTATATTCTATTATATTATATATTATATTCTATTATATTATATTATATATTATATTCTATTATATTATATTATATATTATATTCTATTATATTATATATTATATTCTATTATATTATATTATATATTATATTCTATTATATTATATTATATATTATATTCTATTATATTATATATTATATTCTATTATATTATATTATATATTATATTCTATTATATTATATTATATTATATTCTATTATATTATATATTATATTCTATTATATTATATTATATATTATATTCTATTATATTATATATTATATTCTATTATATTATATTATATATTATATTCTATTATATTATATTATATATTATATTCTATTATATTATATATTATATTCTATTATATTATATTATATATTATATTCTATTATATTATATATTATATTCTATTATATTATATTATATATTATATTCTATTATATTATATATTATATTCTATTATATTATATATTCTATTATATTATATTATATATTATATTCTATTATATTATATTATATATTATATTCTATTATATTATATATTATATTCTATTATATTATATTATGTATTATATTCTATTATATTATATATTATATTCTATTATATTATATATTCTATTCTATTATATTATATATTATATTCTATTATATTATATATTATATTCTATTATATTATATTACATATTATATTCTATTATATTATATATTATATTCTATTATATTATATTATATATTATATTCTATTATATTATATTATATATTATATTCTATTATATTATATTATATATTATATTCTATTATATTATATATTATATTCTATTATATTATATTATGTATTATATTCTATTATATTATATATTATATTCTATTATATTATATTATATATTATATTCTATTATATTATATATTATATTCTATTATATTATATTATATATTATATTCTATTATATTATATATTATATTCTATTATATTATATTATATATTATATTCTATTATATTATATATTATATTCTATTATATTATATTATATATTATATTCTATTATATTATATTATATATTATATTCTATTATATTATATATTATATTCTATTATATTATATTATATATTATATTCTATTATATTATATATTATATTCTATTATATTATATTATATATTATATTCTATTATATTATATATTATATTCTATTATATTATATATTCTATTATATTATATTATATATTATATTCTATTATATTATATTATATATTATATTCTATTATATTATATATTATATTCTATTATATTATATTATGTATTATATTCTATTATATTATATATTATATTCTATTATATTATATATTCTATTATATTATATTATATATTATATTCTATTATATTATATATTATATTCTATTATATTATATATTCTATTATATTATATTATATATTATATTCTATTATATTATATATTATATTCTATTATAGTATATATTATATTATATATTATATTCTATTATATTATATATTATATTCTATTCTATTATATTATATTATATATTATATTATATTATATAATATATTCTATTATATTACATATTATATTATATTCCATTATATTATATATTATATTCTATTATATTATATTACATATTATATTCTATTATATTATATATTATATTATATTATATTATATATTATATTATATTATATATTATATTCTATTATAATAGGCGCAATATTACAAAACAAGACAACCACTACGTAAAATTTAAAAAGAAAAAACATTTAAAATAAAGTTTGCACAATATTTTTGTGTGTGTGTGTGTGCCTATTAAGGCGTGATAACAATTTCAGATAGAAGGTATTCAGCGAAAAATGGAAAAAATAACTGCTTGGGAAAAGACAAGGATTTTGAAAATGACAAAAAGAGAAAAAAATACAAGAAGGCAGTCAAAAAAAAAGAAGATGTAATACGCTTTGAGAATAGAATGAAAATACCTACTTTACTTGCCCACGAGGGTCTCTGGAACATGCAGTATTTATTTTAAGTCCCTTTTAACAGCACACAGTCCATGCTTAGGAAAATTTCTTAGAAATGTTTTCATTCTTGGCTGCCCAACTACAGGAATTTCAATTTTCAATTTAACTATTGGTCTATCCGAGACTGCTTGATAACTGGTGCCTTTCTTTGATGTTCTCTTCTTGACGTCAAATGTCTTCTTTGATGATGACGATCTACCTTCTTCTGGTATCTACTGATCTGAGCTCTATTTATTTTTAAAATTCGGTTCACCTCTGCCCTACTATTCGGGATGACATTAGATCTTGAGACCACGTCTCCCATTGGTCAATAAATACGAAAATTTTTTTCCGTAAACTGGAAATAGATCCTTCAAAAATGTTGGCGGGTTTTAACCACTGAGCTGAAAAATATACACAAGGGCAACAATTTTTAATACAAACTGTTTGGCCTTCATAAAAATACACTTCTCTGAAAAGAACGTGTATAAAAAAAACAAGCTTGACTTTTATTTTTGTTATACACAATTCAATTTACTAATGACTATTTTAAATAAATTTTACACGTAAATAAATTCTAATTGATTATTTTGATGAAAGGAATTGTTCACAGGTATTTGCTTTTCTTTTTTCTCTAGTTACGTCTTGTCCTGGTTCTAATGATAAACTACGTCCGACAGAACAGAGGTTTTGAAGAATCTGGAACGACATCTTAATTGCTGTTCTCAGGTCCACCCTCACCCGGAATGGTAGAATCTGCTAGTGTCCCACCTCTGGGCAAAGAGTGAACATCGAAACAAAAACGAAACACTATGAAAGTATAAAAATATATTTTTGTACAAATACCAGCAACACATTTTTATAGTAAAAATTACGAACAATACATTTAGCAAGCAAACTAACCAGCAATTAATTTTAGACCAGAATTACTGACAATATATTTTATAGCAAAATAACCAACAATACATTTTATCTGTATTTGAAGGCATACAATTGCGTTTAAAACATATTTAGTTGAAGCCATAAAATTGTATTCAAAATATTCAGATTTCAGTATTAAATAACCCATAGAGGTGTTGATATACAGCTAAACAAAATCGACCAACTTATAAGATTACGTTAAATTAGTCTACAATGAGTGCAAAATGCAATTTAAATAAAATGTGACATTTTTGCATCGAGTTGGCAGGCTGTAGAAAGATCTGCTGAGAACTGTGTTACATTTCTGAGCGAAGCCATCATGCACTGTGTCCTTGAGTGAATTGGCAAATGCCCCTGCTAGACGAGAGCCAGCCTCATCATATTTATTGTGCATTTCCTTGTAGTTGCGCAGATTGTCCCTGTGCTTACTTTCCTCCTCTGAGTAAAAATTATGATCAACTTTGACATGGAAAACTGACCGTTGACTTCCACCTGGGTTAAGGTCTATAGTTGCAATAGCTGGGGCAGGATTCTTTGGAGTATTGTTATTGCTATTGTTGATATTGTTTGTAGTGTTAGTACTACTTGAAGTGAAGGACATGTATTCCTGTAGATTTTCCATGGCAGAGATAACATATACTAAATAAAATAAAAATTTATCTGGATAATTTAGATATTTTAACAGGTGTTATGTAGTTTTTCTCATGAAATAAAGTCAAGATATGCTTTATTTTTGAAAATAATAAATTTCCATGTATTGTGAATTATAATTGTATCGAAAAATGCGCGCTTTCGTCTCTTTACGTTCTTTAATACAAACGTTTGCGACTTCTTAGGTTCGAGTGTGATATTCAGCAAGTTATAGAGGGCGCAAAACGCAAGTGCAATTTTCGGCAAAGAAGATGACCACGGACATTTTTAAATTTACCTTGTGGGGGTGGCGTTGTAGTGACCTGTCACAAAAGAAAATCATTCTGTCTCCTTTCCAAAATATTTACTTTACAGTACGACCTAACATACATATAAGGAGGATTGAAAAGTAACTCCCTAGTTTATGTATGACTGCTATAAGTCTTGACTTAACACCTTGTGACTTTTTTCTTTGGGGTTGGTTAAAAGAGTAAGTCTACTATACTAAACCAAGGCCTGTGGAAGAACTTGAAGGGCGAATACAAGGAGTTAGGTCTTCCATGCCACAAGAGGCCTTGGCGAAATCAGCTGGGGCATCTTGAGATGGTAGCGAAATCTGGTGCCCATATCGAAATTTAAATAAAACCTTATTCTAAACGCTTTTCTCTCATATCCACTTCTTGTAAAAATTATACTTAACAATTAAATTATACGTATTTTTAAATGGGAAGTTAGTTTTCAATCACTGTATATACATGAGCAAAAACTGAAGCTCACACAAATTCATACATATATACGCCCTCGCATACAACAAAGCAAATGCGAATGAACACCGCAAGTTTACCAGGGTCATCTTTGGGCGTGAAACCCAAGAACCCTTCAATTCAAACATTCTGCACTTTGACGCGGGTGGACCAGAAATCACACCTTGATTGAGTAATTCGTATTCTACGGTTTATCAACCCATTGCTGTTTATTTAAAGCTAGAAAATATTTGTAAATTATGAAACTTTTGGTTAGGAGAAAATAATGTTCTAGTGATACAAGTCTTACTAATTAACCCATAGATGGGGGTGAGAATAGGAGGATTCATAGCTTCCTCAAGGGTATTTGTGCATATAACCAACCGAAATGGAATGGGAACACTCTTTTCCGATTAACAATTTCGTGCCATTATCCATTTTACCAACTGCATACCCAAGCTTACAGCACCTGGCATCCCCAAGTGGTTACTCATCTAGGTATTGACCAAGCTCGACGTTGCTTAACTTCGGTGATGGTACGGACCCGGTGTTTCAATGGGATATGGCCGTAATCCTGCAATCACACATGCGCCCTGGTCGACCGACAAGTGTGATCACCACCACTTCGAAAACAATGAAAAGTTATCAATGGAATGATGGCAATGTAAACATTAAAATCTAATATGCTAGACCATATAATTATATATATATATATATATATATATATATATATATATATATATATATATATATATGTGTGTGTGTGTGCAATTTTCAAAAGAAGAATATATATATATATATATATATATATATATATATATATATATATATATATATATATATATATATATATATAAAATAATTAGACAAGAAAATTGTCCTACTTATTAAGTTTTAAGGAAAATAAAAATTATTTTAGAATAAGTAAGTGATAGTCGAAATTTCTAAAACATAGGATGAGGTAAGAATGCTTGGAAAATTGGCATTCAGTAGGACATTGTGAAGAGCCATAATCGCTTACCTCTTGACGGGATACGACACAAATAAGAAATTAAAAAAAAAATTAATTAAATAACAATTATCACAATATACCCGAATACGTGACGAATAAAAGATTGGTTCCTTCCGAAGATTTTCGCAAATTCAGCATACGACAATTTTTTCCTTGTTAACTCAAGAACCTTCCACTTTTTACATGAACAAAACTTTTCACAAGTCTCTATTTGGCATATCTCAATTGCCGTTATAAATTCTCTTCCGTGTGTTTTTGGATTATTATTCAATAAACTGTATGAATGTTATATAATTGAAATCTAGATAGAAAATGACGGTCAATGTAGATATAAATAATGTCTGTTAAGCTGGAAGCCGATGCCAAATTTCGTATTTAAAATGACTTCTAAAAGCAACCAATATTATAGTCGTTCGAATTGAATAATATTATATCAATGCATTTATTGGCTAATTCAATAGAAAACCACAACAAGGCTGTGATCTGTACAAACTTCTTAACTATGACTTAAACTATTTTAACCTTATTTAACCTTACCATTCTTCTCACAATCATTTCATACTTAAACACGTCCATCAAATTCCACAAATGTTATCGGAAAAATCGACGTGAGCTCTAAATCAATTTCAGACCGAAAAGATTCCAAGACAAGCAACTTTTAAGTGATATTTCTCATTTTATTTGAAGTTGGCAATTATTTAAGTTCTTAGGAAATAGTGAACGCGTAAATAAAAGCATCACACACACACACACACACACACACACACACACATATATATATATATATATATATATATATATATATATAGGGAAGAGGTTATAGGTGTTCTGTTTTATTACCCTTTAAGCAGAAGAACTTTCTTACCACCAGTCCAAGGAAGACAATTGCGTCACTACTATCCAAAAAGAAGAGAATTATTTCCTTTTAATAATATGTGGAAATATTCACTCTTTGTCTGAAGAAAATCACGAGCCCGGAAACACGTGTAGCAAAATAATGGAAAAAAAATATAATATTTTTTTTTTAAAATACACACGTTTGCGGTTTCTCTCTCTCTCTCTCTCTCCTCTCTCTCTCTCTCTCTCTCTCTCTCTCTCTCTATATATATATATATATATATATATATATATATATATATAAGTGGACACTGAAGTCAACATTTACATGCCGACTTTTATATTTATATACGCTCTATCCTTGATACTGATCATTTTAACCCATAAATATAGCATACCTTAAAACTATATTTTATCACGCCTGTTTCTTTTATCAACGAGAAATAAAAAATAAATTTGACTTTTTGGGCCGGGATATTTTTCCCCGAATGTATTATATTACTGATGAAATCTAGTAGTTTTGGGATAACTGTTTACCCCCATTATATTGTAATATATATATATATATATATATATATATATATAAAATAAAATGGATTAAGTCCGACAATAGATTAAGTCCAACAAGCGAACCTGTAACTCTTATGCGAACCGTTATGTAGCCTGACGTGTTGTTACCATTCAGCCACAGAGAGGCATCTGGTTAGCAAAGTCCGAATTACTGTTTATAAACACACAAACCTTCGACGATCATATATGTAAGTCAAAACTTAGGATTAAAAAACATGTATCAATATGATGATGTTCATTCGTCTTTCAATGATAATGTTATTAAGCTTATCAGAGGATATAAAAGGAATTTGATTAAAATAAATAGACAAAAGTTGTCTATATTAACAAAATAAACTATGAAAAATCCACAAATCTACTTAAATGCCTACAATTGATAACAGAAGCCAATAGCTTATACCAACGCTTCCTATATTTAACACTTCTCGTTTTCAATCTCGCATGATGTCATGGGCCGCGGTGCGATTTTCGCTTCCAGCGTCGCGTATGCACGAGTCTGTCGTTGCTTGAAATCTTCCATGCAAACAAAGACTATTCTGTTTTGTTTGCATGGAAGATATATATATATATATATATATATATATATATATATATATATATATATATAATCGACTCTCCTGTCGAGATTCGACGTATGAGGGTCAAAGCAGATCTGTTTCAGGAAACCGACAGCCCGACAACAGCGCATGAGATTTGATTATAGTGGCGAAGGCTTCGTGCAGGACCATCCACACTTTTGAAGGGACGAATACAGAGACCTGGTGCACCGAATGCCACAAGGTTCCCAAACGACCCTTCGCAGGTTTTGAATTCAGAGTTGTGCTTCTCCTAGACCAGTTTTCATCCAAGGCTATAGAACCCAGTCTGTCCTGCTATTTTACCCATAGCTGGTGGGAGAGGAAGAGGATTCATACCTTTCCCAAGGGTATTAGCACTTACGTGCTAATATATATATATATATATATATATATACACACACACACACACACACACATATATATATATATATATATATATATATATATATATATATATATATATATAGTCAATGTGCGAATATTTAGTTGTCATCATGTAATAAATATTGCATATTCTCACAATCACTAGCACACGTACACAAAGTAAAAAAACTAAATATAAAAGAAGCACACGCTCTCTTTATATACAGGGTGCGACAGAAATATATCACGCACAATAAACTGTCACCTGTTAGGAGCTAAAGAACTTAGACCAGCAGCAAGCGTGTTTTTGACTAATTGGACCGATGCATAACGTGCCTTTCCTTTTAAGTCAGAATGGTGCTGTTCAGGATTGAAAATCGATACTGACATGGGTTGAAAATTTAAGGGCCACAGGTTCAGCGCTTCAAAGAAAGTAATAAGGAAAACCTGCAAGCGCTCGAACCCCCGGGCGATGGGACTCTTTAAAATCTTGTACAACAGTGTATAGCAAATAGAGGTCACTATTTGGAGGATGTCATTTTTAAAATTAAATCATTATCGTCCTTTGTTTCAACAAAAGTGAAATAAATGTTTAATAGCAGTTATCAAGGTCAACCATAACAATGTAGGAGCCATTTCTGCCGCACCTCGTACATATATATATATATATATATATATATATATATATATATATATATATATATATATATATATATATATATTTTTAATTTATTTGTAACAAACAGTTATTTCTGATGATGAAGATTGAGGACAATTTGAAATATCAAATATATATATAAATAAATAAATACTTTCATAAAATAAAACATTATTATTTTTTTAATTTGAAACTTTTTCTATATATATATATATATATATATATATATATATATATATATATTACAGCAAAAAACGAAATTACCTCAACATAATCCCTAAGTGTCTGTGTCTAAGGAGAGATAGCTGATGATAGCCGTGTGCAGAACGGCTTGAAAAAATATCTTTATGTTGAGATATTTTTTTTTTTTTTTTTTTTGTAAAAAGACGTATGCTCTGTTATAACAAATACATCAAACCCTCTGTGAATCAGTTGTAATAACTAATACTACTAGGATCTACCCGGATTATATACCAACGGATCGATTACCTATACTATATATATATATATATATATATATATATATATATATATATATATATATATATATATAAAATGTGTGTGTTTTGTTTCTGTGTGTGCAATGTGCTAATATTTAATTATCTTTCGAGTAATAAATAGTACATGTTCACACCACCACTTGCAACGTTGATATATACATATCTGCAAATAAATAAAATATCACAAGAAAAGGAAAAGGAAGCACGCACGTTTATCTTCTAGGTGGATGCAAAAGCTCCCAGCAGTTTTTGAGAACATTACTATTTCTGAGCAAAAGCTAATGCCTGTCATATTTCAAAATTATTAGTCAAAATTCCTCGGGATATTTCAGCTATAAAGCTCAAAAGATCTAGAAGCCCAACTGAAGTTGTATTTTCTATTCGTATTCATAATCTTCTTTGAAAATGGCCGCCCTACGGGAACACATACAGAAAGCAAATACCAATCATAGAATTTTGTTTTCAGAAGGAGAAAATGTTGCAAATGCTCGCTGGAGGTTAGTGAATGTTTATTAAGTGGTTTCACTTGAGACAAGGGCTTTTAGAGGGTGGATCAGTGGGATTAATAAAAATTCTAGAAAGAAAAGAGAAACTAATCTTAATGACAGGTTCCACAGGGTAGGTCAGCTGCTGCTGTGAATGAGAATAAGGCCAAATAGATTGATTCTTTCATCAAAATTGACAAAATAATTATTAGTACAAAAACTGTAGAATAATAGAATCTACGTAAATTGAAGTGATCCAAAGATACTTATGAAAAGGGCTTTTAGAGGGTGGATCAGTGGGATTAATAAAAATTCTAGAAAGAAAAGAGAAACTAATCTTAATGACAGGTTCCACAGGGGTAGGTCAGCTGCTGCTGTGAATGAGAATAAGGCCAAATAGATTGATTCTTTCATCAAAATTGACAAAATAATTATTAGTACAAAACTGTAGAATAATAGAATCTACGCAAATTGAAGTGATCCAAAGATACTTATGAAAAGGGCTTTTAGAGGGTGGATCAGTGGGATTAATAAAAATTCTAGAAAGAAAAGAGAAACTAATCTTAATG